CCCGGCCAACCGGGGCCTGCCACGTGGCAAGATCGCGTCACTCCGAAAGGAGCCACGTTGGCGATCCGCGTGGGTGCGATCCGACGGCCCAGATCAATCACGCGATCGGACGGCCCAGATTCAAACGCACGGACGGCCCAGATTCAATCAAAAACGAACGGCCCAGATTAAAACGAAACGAACGGCTGTGATCAAAAGGCAAGGGGTTATAAATAGAACCCCCACACCAGACCAAAAACCCTAGCCGCCAGCCGCTCGCCGGAGAAGACGAACCAGAGGCCGACCGCCGCCACCCGCCGCCACTCGCCGCCGCACCGGGGAAATTTCCGACCGCCGATCGAGGTAAATTTCATACCCCCGACTCGTTTTTCCCCACTGATTCCTCCTATGGCCAAATCGAAGCCGAAATCCCGGCCAAACGGCCGGAATACGCGGCCGAAGCCCAGCGGCACCGCCGCGCCCCCTCTCGGTTTTTGCCTCCGACGAGGCCCTTCCCGGCCTCCGTTCGATGCAATTTTTATATCATCGTGATCACCATTCTTTTCTCTACAGGTTGACCGAAGCCAAATCACCAAAACACGAACTTCGCCGGAGAGTCGCCGTACCCGAGAGCGCCGCCGCCGGTAAGCTCCGTTTTTCCGTGATTTTTTGGCCCCCCGAGGGCCCTAGGGTTGTTTTCTGACAAGGACCAATGCGAGTGTGGCCGAATTCGGCCAAAAACGGCCGAAAACAGTCAACCCGAGGCGACTCGCCGCCGCCAGCGGCGGCGCCGTCGCCGGAGCACGGCGGAGCCGCCGTGCCGGAGTTGCGATTTGGGCCGAAAGAGGCCCTGGGCCTAATTTGGATTTTTTTGGAACCCGTGCAGGTACTGTTAGCGTGTTTCAGTTCCCCGGGAAAAATTCAGGGGAAAATTAGGGACAGCCTGCAGGCGCACTGTGAATCGTATTCGGATCCCGAAAACAAGTAAGGACCCCTCACCCTATTTCCTATCACGGTATTAAAGTTCAAAATGATAAAACAGTATTTCTTGAATTAACGCATGTGTGAAATTGCTTAAGGTTGCTAATGGAGCCCGAGTCTAGTGTGATTGATGATTTACTGTTATTTGGCCTGTTTACAGCTTTAAATGCAGTATGAGGGTTGATGTGTTCATTTTACAGATTTGTGTGCATGTACTACGTTTTTATTAATTATGGGTTGAATGACTGAAAAAACTGATACTGTATGTTGTCTGTTTGGTATGAATTACGATTTGCTTGTTTAAATGTGAATTGATGATGCTGATTGAGGAAAAGGAAAAATGAAAGATTGTGTAAACTGATAATTGTATTATGGGGGTCAGCCTGACTAGATATCCTGGGAGATGGTGGACGGACCGGGTCCGTAGGGAACCCTACCGGGATTGTGGTCTCACATGCCGGACGGGGTATGGAGATCTTATGGTTTTGGCGCCCATACCGGACGGGGTATGGGGACGGCCCGTTTCACCCTCATACCGGACGGGGTATTGAGGTTTATGGTTTTGGCGCCCATACCGGACGGGGTATGGGGACGACCCGTTTCACCCTCATACCGGACGGGGTATTGAGGTTCATGGTTTTGGCGCCCATACCGGACGGGGTATGGGGACGGCCCTGGAAACTGATTATGAATGTTAAAGGTTAACGGGTAGCAGAACCCCTATGGACCCCCACGGATACTAGTAGGCTGGTAAATGAGAAAAAAGATATGTTGTACAATGATTGAATTACAAGAGGCGTGATAAGTGTTATGTTTTACAGCTTAGATTATTCAATGATTATGATAATGTTATTGTTTTTCTCATATTGTTTTTCATAAATTCCACCAAGGTAAGTGGATGGTAAAAGTTTTATTATTGATAAAAGGTTTTGTTGTTAATAAACAAGTTTATTGTAAATTATGCTCCATTGGTCTTTTTGTGGTTTTCTACCCACCTTTATCTCCGTGACGGTGAGATATCGTGATGTTCTTACTGGGCTAGTGTAGCTCACTCCTTAATTAACCATTTCAGATCAGGAAGACATGGTTCCCGAGCCCGTTCCGCAGGAGGACGACGAAGGGGATGCCTAGAGACTCTGTAGTCATACGCATAGTTTATTTTCGAGTTTTCTTTCTTAGTTAGTTTAACCTTTTATATTTTAAGTACGTCTGTTTGGTTTTTCGTGTAAGGGATGTTAACTGAAATTTTGATATCGCTTCCGCATTCGATATATTTAAATACTCATTTCATTTTAATATTTTCCGGGGCCGTTACAAATAGTATATAATAGTTATCTATCTAATTTTTTAAATATATATATTAATGAATTATAAGTTTGTATTATATAATTAATTTTTAAACTTGTAACAATGCATAACGGGTCATAACAAATTTAATTTTATTATTTGGTCCCCTTCCTGCATGGGCTACCAACCCATTATTGGGCGAGCCCATTTATAGGTTCAACCCATACGCAAAACGCACAGTTTCACTAATTGCAGAGCGGATCCGGTGGTGCAGGGTCCCGAGCTCACCGGGTGAGACAGGTATAAATACCACCTTCGTCTCGCCCAAAACCCTCCCTGATCGGGCTTTCTTCTTCTTCTGTTTTCTGATTCCGTGTCGACACATCAGAAACCCTAGGATTTCTCCAATTTTTCTTCCGTTTTGCAGGTCTTCGGCTTGGAGCTTGGCGTGAAGAGACAGCAGCAACTTCCTTCTTCAACGGAATAGAGGTGTTGTATATTTATTTCCTTATTTTATCAAAGTAGTCCGTTGTTGTTAGAAACTCTAGGGATTGAATATTTACTGGTGTGTATAAAAGAAGAAGACCATTTTGTAACAAATTTGGTAAAATAGTAAAAGAAAAAAAGCAACACATTTGTAAACCTTTTGAATTCGGAGAGAGTCCTAGTTCAATTGACCCATTAAATTGGATCTTTTCGTATTTTAGGCATTCCTCCAACCCAATGTCAATGACTTTAACCTTGCCCCGGCCCATGGGCCACATATTTTTAACTATTTTTACTTATTAAATATATTTAGGATAATTCATTTTAAAAATATATTTTTTATAAGGTCTTTAACAAATATTTAGGCTGTTAATTATAATGTTTAGGATCCATTAGTTTTAAATTCTTCAAGTTGTAGCATGTAAGCATAGATGTATTGACGACATTTAAATGAAAATTTTGTTAGAATTCATATTTCCTTCTTAAAATATATTTTTAACATGTATGTTAAATTTAATATGTAATTTTATAAGATCTATATGTTTAATCTCATTTTTACTTGCACACCGTGAATAGAATTGGGTGATATTGAGTTACTATTATCCCATGTAACTGATTGGAAATATTATGTAATTAGTTAATAAAATAAAACTATCTAAACAATAGTTTATGATATTTATATTATATATTTAAATAATAGTAATTTTGACTTCCAAATAATTAATATGTTATAGTTATTCATGTATGGATCTCATTCTACTTCAAAAACTTCTGTAATTTTAATGTTGTTATAGACCATTATCGATATGCAACAATTACCAAATCAATAATAAAATAAAGTAGGGTATTTGGGCCAAAGACTAGCCAATCCAGTCCAATATAAATTGAAAATATTATTATTATTATTATTTTTTAACATGGCAGATTTGGATTTTCTTATTCCTTAACCTATAGTCGAACTAACATTATTATTATTTTTTAATATAATCTATATTAAATAGTCAAACAATTAAATAAAGTCTATAAAGTCATTGCTATATTAGATTGACTTTTTTACTTAAGGGTCCTAAGACTTGTATTTAACTCATTAAGACCAACTATTCTCCACATCATATCTTCTTTCAAGGTTTCCCAAAGTTACATATTTATAATTTTAGAAAATATACTTTAAATTAAAAATCAATATTCATTAAGGCACGTGATTTTTATTAAATAATTAATTATAAATCTACTAACATACAAAAAATTCACATATCTCGCCATCTTTAATTTATATTATTTTTATTTTATTTTAGGTAATCAAATAATTAAGTAAAATAACACTTACTGAGATATTTTTAAACTTCAAGCTATACTCTGAGAGAAATTCTTAAAAACAGATTATCCCTTTTTTTATTTCTTTAAGAAGAAAAAAAAAACTTTTGGATATGTATAAATTCAAATAATTTTTGAACTTGTATTATCCTAGCCTGGATTTTTTATTTTGGTAAAAAAAAGAAAATTAACTTGCAAAGAATGAAACCAGTTATTTTAATTTAAAATTAAATTTTAATTTAAATAAATACAAAAATTCGGGTTTGTAATAATTAACCAAAAAAAAAAAACCAATTAGACTCGACGGACAAGTCACATTTGTTATTCACTAAAACAAACTGGCCGTTAACTTAACGCTCTACCGCTACTACCAAGTCCCCCCAGGGAAACCTAAAACCCTAACGCTATATCCTGCGTCGTCCACCTCCAGTGTCTGCTTCAATTCTCCTCAGTCCACTGTAATTGAGTACGCGATTCATATAACTGCTGGTTCTCTGCTTTGCGCAGCAGGTTGACAATGAAATACAAGGTTCAGAAGAAGAAAGTCTCGGCCTCCAACGGGAACAGAAAGAGCAACAAGCATTCTATCAGTCGAGACCCGTTTTTCGAAGGTGAGTCTAAGAAGAGGCGTAAGATCGGCTACGAAGATGAAGACATAGAGTCCGGAGACTCCGAGGAAGAGAACGAAATTCTCGGAGATTCTGATGGTGGCGGTAGCAGTGGCGATGAGGAGCAAGAGGAGTATGCTATGGAGACTGCGGATGAGAAGCGGAAGAGGTTGGCGGAAGAGCACGTGGAGAAGGTACGGAAGTATTGGGAGAGAAAGAGGCAAACTGAGGGGGAGGATGAAGAACGAGGAGGAGAAGGTAGCGAGAATGAGAACGAAGGAGTGAAAGATTCACTTGTGGCGAGCATCTTGCAGAAGGAGCAGCTCGAGGAGAGTGGTCGTGTTAGGAGAGTCATTGCTTCCAGGTAAACATGGTGTTTTAGACGTATGGTGATATATCTATGCATAGTATATCTGTACATGTATAGATATGTAAGTATATATGTATGCCGATGTTTGTGATACAGAGTATTTGCAGTTTCAAGAATAGCTTTCGATTCTGTATGTGTTTGAATTTCAAGAAGTGTTTCTGTTTCATTTCCATGATTTTTGGTGTTAAGCGGATTCAGTTCAATGTCTGTGTCCACCTCGAGAAACAAGAAACTCTATGTGATGCTCTGACAAAATTGCTATGACTATCTCATACTAATGGCTAAGAAGCTTATTTTTTCTTCTTTTGCAGAAATTATCTTTTAGTTCTGGTAGGTTCGGATTACAATAGCAAGATTTGCAAATATTGAATGATAACTAGGCACGCTCTATGTTAATTTTTGCTGAAGAAATTGTGCCACTTACATGAATTTTTGTTTCTTTGTTTCAACCTGTAGTAATTCTATTTTTGTGTTCTTATATTGTCTGTTCCTCAATTCAGAGTTCAAAAGCCAGAAGCTGCTGATGAATTTCGTATCCTAGTAAAACACAGACAACCTGTTACTGCTGTAGCTCTTTCTGAGGATGATTTAAAGGGCTTTTCTGCCTCGAAAGATGGCACCATTTTGCATTGGGATGTGGAAAGTGGAAAAAGTGAGAAATACCAGTGGCCTAGTCAGGATGTTCTGAAGTCCCATGGAGTCAAGAATACAGAAGGGCGAGTTAAGAAACATAGCAGGCATGTTTTAGCATTGGCTGTCAGTTCTGACGGTAGATATTTGGCTACCGGAGGCTTAGACCGGCATGTTCATCTATGGGATGCTCGTACACGAGAGCATGTACAGGTAAATTCTATTATGAATTCTTTGAGGATAGAAGGGTGATGTCAAAGCTTTATAACTTAGGTCAAAAGAGAATTGCAGAATCAAACAAGTGCTTTTGGAGCACTTGGACTTTAATAATCACAAATTGACCAAAGGGCATGATTTACTTGGGACTTTACCTGCATGCTTGAATATTGATTTCTTACAATCTTATGAACATTTGACACCATATTGTTTCCTATCCTTTTCCTAATAAGAAAAAAAGAATCAAAAGTATTGGGTCCTGTGCTGATGATTGACTACATTGATTGAGAATTTCCAGCTTCGTTTTTCATGAAGCATAGAATTGGGTTTAATTAGTTAAGCTTAAACGGCTCATGTTAAGCTAGACATACCATCCCTTGTCCTTCTGGAATCCCTCTACAAAACAAAAATTGTATTTCGTGAGGTCCTTGAGGGAGGGGATTGCTGGATGCAGCTTACAGAATCAGGAGACAAGGTTTTTCCATGTTCATCTGCTGGAAACCCAAGTCAATTGGTCAAAATCACTTCTTAGGCTATCTCGATACTTTAAAAAGCATCTCATCTTAACTCTGAGCACCTATCCCTGTGACATGAATGTTTAATTTAATTTACCTCGATATAATGTTTGTTATAGTTCGCTCCTAGTTTATCTTGAAGTTATGGTTATCATGTGCACATTATTTTGTACAGGCTTTTCCAGGTCATAGAGGACCTGTTTCATGCTTAACTTTTAGGCAAGGGACTTCAGAACTCTTTTCTGGTTCATTTGATCGAACGGTCAAGATATGGAATGCAGAAGATAGAGCTTACATAACCACCTTATTTGGTCACCAAAGTGAAGTATTAACCATTGATTGCTTAAGAAAGGAACGAGTATTGACTGTTGGACGGGATCGGTGTATGCAGTTGTTTAAGGTAAACGGCAATTCTAGTGACTTCTTGCCTAGTACATATTGTAAATTTTTGCTACATTTCATTTGAAAAAAAAAAACAATAGGTAAGAAAAAGAGAAGAAAATGGGAAGGGGAAATCAGATTTTTTTTTATTTGTGTCTCTAGAAAATAGACTGAAAAAATGATTTGTGGAACTAGCTGAAATGGGTTTCAGAAACAAATGTTTGATCCGTTATTATTCTTTTCAACTTTTACTTTCCATGTTTGAAGATTTTGCCCTAGGTCCTCACAGGCATTAGCATCAAAACTAACTGATGCAAACAATGCAATAATAGATGGTACTTTTCTTTGAGCATCATTAGGAGATGCATCTTTGAATTGGTCGTTTAATATTAACACCACCTTTTATATTCTGCTACATAGGTTCCTGAAGAATCACGGTTAATATTCCGAGCCCCTGCATCATCTTTAGAATGTTCTTGTTTCATCAGCAATGATGAATTTTTATCTGGTTCTGATGATGGAAGTATTGAGCTCTGGAGTGTTACGCGAAAGAAACCTGTATACATTGTTAAGAATGCTCATCCTGTTTTGACTGCATCGAAGGATATTAAAAATGAAGATCATGGAACTTTTGCTAATGGGCATTTAGGTAAATTCTCGATGTCTTGAATCCTTGCATTGCTGCAGAGTCCTAGAAAGGGAAGAGAAGGGATGCTTGGGAATTCAATAACCTTTTCACTCTCAATCTACAGCTAGCTTTGTGCCGTTGATTGGTTCATCCAATTTTTAAATATCTAAAACTTATTTTCTACATATATTTAGTGACTCTTCTTGCACTCTGTCTGATTTGTATTCTTAAATCAGAGTATTTTCATCACGAGTGAGGAGAGCAACCTGGCCTGCATTTCGCTATGTTTGGAGGGGTGTTTTATAGTAGGGAAAGGGAATATTATAACTGTGATTAGAAGTTTGCTTGTTCAGAGAACTCTAAGGATCTCCATTTCCAGTCTATTCTAATTTTAAAGAATTTATTGTCATAAGAGAATAGAATGTTATTGTACTTGTTTACTTTGCGTCGATTGTTTTAGGTAATTTTATGCTTGTTTAACAATGCTTTATCATCCTGCAGAAAATGGCAATACCAATAATGAGAATTATCATTGTTCATCAGCATATTCATGGGTTAGTTCAGTTGCTGTATGTAGAAGCAGTGATCTTGCTGCATCAGGAGCTGGCAATGGCTCAGTCCGCCTATGGGTTGTTGAAAGTGAGTCCAAAGATGTTCGACCTTTATATGACCTTTCGTTGGTAAGTTAAAAATCATATTCCTTGAAGCAATTAATTTTCTTCTTCAGATATCAACATTATGACCAGACCTGGTTCCATTTATGAATTATCTTATCATTGCGGAAAAATTTAACGTCTTTAGTAGCTTTTGAAACAGTCTACATTGAAATATGCAGAAAAATTCCATACATCATTTGAATATTAATTGCTAAAGAGTATCCAATAGATTAAATTCCATACCGAAGTATTTGTTTTATCATGTGTTCATGTATGCATTTCGGTTCTTCCATATTTTTCTTGCAAAGACCCACAAATCAAACTTGTTGCTTAACAAGACCTTTTGTGTATGACAGTCTGGTTTTGTAAATTCTCTGGCCTTTGCAAGATCCGGACAGTTCATCATTGCTGGAGTTGGACAGGTTAGCATTATTTTGCAGATTATGACTTGACTGCATTTTCTTCTTATCTTCTTTGTTTCTTCTTCCTGCAAAATAAAATTTCTCCCAGCAGATTTGAAGTTTTCGGACGGGCTAGTGCTTGAATTTTGATTGCATAAGATTACAGTTTTATAATTAACCTTTTCAATCATAGCATACCAGCGGAAGCACTTGACTCCCTGATTCCAAGTTAATTGTTAGCCTTAAAATTGAGACTTTAGTGGTAAAAGATGGTGGTGAAGTGCACTCGTAAGAAGCAATTTGAAACTTATGCCAAGTGGATGAAGGATATTGAAAAATAAGTCTGTATTATAATATCTTTGAACCATCCGCAAATTCTCCAGTCCTCTTTACTATGTGATCTATATATCTTTTCGCGGTATGAATTGTTCCAGCCTATTTTTTAAAGGTACATATGGTCCTAACATTTGAAAATCTTTACTGCAGGAGCCGCGTCTTGGAAGATGGGGACGTCTACCGGCTGCTCGGAATGGGGTTGCAATTCATCCCCTTAAGCTCTCATAAGATGGTGATATTTTTGCAGATTGCTACAGTTTTCAGGTGGACTATTGTTTGGATACGGAGAAAACAAGGCCAACGAGGGGACACTCGTTCATGGTCATCACTACAATTTTGGCATAGCTGAGAAATTAAGCTAAAAGTTCAATCTGTAGGATATAGCTTTTGTTCAATTTTATGTACAATTACATATTAATGTTCTCTGGGCTGTTCTTTTTTTTTTTTTTTTAACTAGATTATTTTTTCCTGATGAAATTTTGTTAGCGCCGTGAGTGGAATTGTAGGGTGAGGACTTTTCTGCATTATCTACCTAAAATTGCTGTAGAACCTATTTGGAGGGGTTTCATTCAGCACAAAAGACTGGGTCAAAGCTCCCTAATATTAGGACGGAATAGGGAAAGTCCAAGTGTATAAATTGTTGAAAAATTAAAAATATGATGTAAACTAAAATTAAAAATATCCGTCGTCTCTTTCATATAATCAGATTACCGACAAAGATTTTGGAAGGCCAAAAAAAGTTTGCACTGATTTTTAATTCTCTAGCTCTTTTAAATAAATTTAATCACACAAATCTCTCAATTTTTTCAATTTAAATTTAGAACAAAATTTGAAGTTATAACGTTTAAAGTCTTTTAGAAAATATGAAAGAAAAAGTAGAGAGAAGACAGAATTTCTGTCAGTGTCAAAATTTTGAGATGTGTGAACCAAATTACAAATAGCTGAACTTTTTTTTTTGAAAAAAAGAAAAAAAGCTTCAAAAATGATTTTAAATTTCGCTTCTCTTTTGTTTAGAAACTTTAATATTCATCATCAAATATTAATCTTACCATTCTAATTCATTTTTTAAAGCGCTTAAAGTCTATTAAAAATCAAAATTACCAAGCACCAAAATTAAGCAAAGATCAATCGCTACAGCTTAAAAGCTTGCTGAAGAAGAAACCTGCGAACATTTATGTCAGTAGTAAAATTGTTTGTGTAGTCTCAAAACCTTTCTCCGTAGACATATATAATTTGTAGATGATAGAGACATCAAGTAATGAAAATATTATTGTAGGTTCAACTTCAGAACACTTAACTGTGAACATTAGTTTTTTTAACCGTTAAATATTAATATTCAAAATATGATAATTTCTAAAATCAATAATATTAACAGTTAAAACACTAATTATATTTTACGATCTCCGAGTTACTGTACTCATGGAGAAACCTTATTTTCTTCTCCCTCCATTTTTTCTAGTATGTTTTCAAGCAGGATCTCGTAACAAGAATCTTCAATGAAAAGCCACCAGTCTTCACCATAAACCTGTGAACAATCCGCGATAAATTCGGGTCTTGTTTGATATAAAAAAAAAAAAAACATTAATTTTAAGTTCTTAGTTTCTTCATTCATATGTTTTATTTTTAAAAAAATATAATTTAATTAACAATAAAAATAATTATTATATTAAATTTAAAATTTCAAGATATTATTTTTAATATTTTTAAGAAAATATATAAGTTAATTTTAAAAATAAAATAATAAAAAGAAGTTTTAAAAATATTTCTTTTAGTATTTTTTAAAAGAATATTTTATTTATTTTACAATTGTATAAATTTTAACTAATTTCTTACTGTACAAATAAATTAAAAAATATTTCCATTAATCAACCACGTTTGGGAAAAACAAAAAATATTAAAAATAAAATTATAACAAAAAAAATGTTATGAATTAAATTATAATAAGTGTTAAATGTCGAAAATTAATTTAATATTTTTTTAATAAATCATTATCATTTAAATGATGATTTATAACTATCGTAATTTAATTTAAATAATAATTAATCACGTAATTTTTTGTACATAATTCCATTTGTAATCTTAGATAATATATTACTTGATACATCAATCTATAACTACAACTTACATAATTTACTTAAACAAGGAAAATAAATAAAAATTAAAAAATACAGTATAAAGCAGCATGAATTAAGTTATTGCAAGTGGTATAAGGTAATACAAATCATAATAACTTCTGATTACAACAACTTATGGTATTAGCATAACAAAAAGAAGCAAATTGTTGAGCTTTGGATTAGCTATTTCATTTTCACACGAAAAGTTTTTACACCTGTCACATACATCAAATTCTTACCCCACACTGTAAATTTACAATCAAATGCTCTACTGCGGAACTATACCACAGAGCTATGGACTCTTGCACCACACTCTAAATCAATAATTATTTACAGAAGAGTTTCTACAAACTAGTTTTCATATTAGATTTGTTACCGCATTATCTTTTATCATACTAAAATAGTTATACTCCAGTCCCAGCCGAAGGCCGAACAAGAAAAATACTTTCTGTAAGAGTAAAATCTGACTGTAAAATCGCTAGCTACCACCACATTGGCAGTTTCAATTGTCCCTCTTAATACATGTGGCTGCTCCTGCTGGTGTCAATAGCACACCATCTTCTTCGTCATCATCACTGCTGAGCCACCCATAGCAAGGTTTTCGTTTCCGACTGGAAAGAGAATCCGCTGGTGGTAAGGCATAGATTGGCAGAGGGCAAGATCCTGAAGACGAGATCTCCGGGGAGAAGTACTGGATTTCTTTTCCAGGCTTGTCTTGTGAGCTTCTTCCATCCATACAACATGAGATGAAGCCTCTTGAAGGTTGAGAATCGATTTGTGAAGAGCTTGCTTGAGCTGGGTGAATTTGTACCCCATACTTTTCTCGTGATGAATCATTGTCTTCTGTCATATCTAATGATAGTGTATTCATTTTCATGGCCTGAACAGGCGACGATTCGGCTTGGATTTCAGATGCAGTATCCTTCACTTCATTATCCTATTCAAGAAGCAAAAATTAGAATCCAAGAAATAAACTTCATTTATGAAATAAGTTACTACCTATGAAATATGAACAAAATTAACTAGCGGGGATGCTAATTTATATTGGTGTCTACTGATTTATTAATGCCTCAAGCATCACAAAGTAGAAATCCCCTTGGCTACCAAGTGGAGTACTTGTGTAAGGAAAGGAAGGAATAGGCTTCTGAGGATTTTTCTTCTTTTCTTTTTTTTTTTTGCTTTCAACAATGTTAAAGGCTCTTGGCTCCGAACCCTGTATTTTTTGTTCAAGGGTTATCCTCTTGATACTAATGAGATGGGGGAGACCTTGCTGATAACTTCATATGTTTGAGTAAAGTGTCCATTTTTTCCTCTGATAAAAAAGCTTCTTGCAGTTTAAGTCTCTCCCTTGTTTGAATATCTCAAAAAATTGCACAAGACAGATTTTCTAGAGAAACCCCAGTTATCCAATTCCAGATATGGATTTGCCAAGTACCAAAAACATCCAATTGATTCTTTTAAACATGTCAGACAATCAAGATCAGGGACATCAGAAGCAGATCAAAGAACCATAGCCAGAAGAAGTTACATCTGACACAAATCAAGCACTGACGGAGGTCTTGGCGACTAACAGAGGAGGATCCAGCAGCAATTCCATTGGCCAAATCGGTCAGGTGTGCAAAACAGAGAAGACGGCACCGAGAAAACAGGAGGGAGACAGATGTTCACTTCCAAATTGACAAAACTTGATTTCCCAAAATACTCAAGAGATGACCCCACTGAGTGGTTTAACCGAGTGGCGCCCTGATGCTCAAAAGGCGTATTGGTCTCCTTCCATCTTAAAGGTGAAGCAAACCAGTAGGGGTAATGATTGCAGCATGCTTTTAAGGAAGAAGAAAGGGAACGACGTGAGCTGACTTTAAAAAAGAATTATGGGCTGGTTTTGGGCCAACAGGATGTGAAGATTTTGATGAGGCCTCATCAAGAGTGAAGCAGGTGGGCTCAGTCCATGATTACTAGAAAGAGTTTGAGAGACTGGGGAACCGGGTACAACGATGGATCAGAAAGCGCTAAGCACATTCATGGGGGGGCTTATATCAGAGATTGCAGAGGGAATCGGGATATTCAAACCCAGGTTACGAATGAACAACCTGCTTGATCTGACTTCCCAGATTAAGACAACCAAGACCATAACCATAAAGCAGTTTTCATGGGATAAGATGCAGAAAAAACGAGCCCAAGGACTTTGCTTTAATTGCAATGAAAAATTCACCACATGCCATAAATGTCGCAAACCTCAACTCCTATTACTCGAACGGGATTTAGGAGTAAAGGAAGATAGCCACATGACAAATGAGCCTGGGATCTCTCTTCATGCTCTCACAGGGTGGTCAACGGCAAGAGCTATGAGGATCACCCCCAGAATCTGCAATCAGAAATCGGTTGTCCTTATTGATAACAAGTCCACTCATAACTTCATTAGCGAGGGAATCACTAACGGTCTGTAGCTTTTAGTGGTGCTGACCGAACCATTTCAGATGAAGGTGGCAAACGGAAAACTATTGAAATGTCAAGGGAGATTCGGAAACATCCATGTCTTACTTCAAGGTATTCCATCACCCTAACTCTCTACGCCTTGTCACTATTGGACTTGATTTGGTGTTAGGAATTCAATGACTAGAGCAATTAGGGCCAGCAACATGTGATTGGAAAAGGATGATCATGGAATTTCACTAGAATAATCAAGTTCCGAAGTTACAAGGGATTGACAAGCAGCCCATCCAACTTGCATCCGTGAAGGTAGTTACAATGGTACGACAAAGGAACTCCATGTTTGCTGTCTGTTTGCGAGCTGAAGCAAGGCTGATACAGACAGTGGCCAAAACTGATATGTAGCAGCCGTTTGAGGAATGAAAGGACATTTTTCAAGAACCCAACCAATTTTCACAGAGAGATTGACCGCCATATAAAGCTTAAAGAAGGAAGAAAACCTATCGACGTGAGATCCTACAGGTATTCTTATTTTCAAGAAGTTGAGATTGAAAAACAATTTCTTGACATGCTTAAATTGGGGCTTATTAGACTGCTTCCCCATCTCAACTGTAGACAACATGTTGAATGAATTGCATGATGTCACCTTCTTCACTAAATTAGACCTAACTTCCGGATATCATCAAGTTCAGGTGCACCCATCTGACACTCACAAAACTATATTTTGTACGTACAACGACAATATGAATATTTAGTTATGCCCTTTGGTCTTTACAATGCACCCTCCACTTTCCAAAGCGTCATGAACACAATATTCTGCCCATACCTATGCAAATATGTCCTAGTGTTCTTTGACGATATCTTGATCTATAACCCCAATTGGGCCTTGCATATGGAACATGTTAGATAAGCCTTTGAGATTTTAAGGCAGCACTAGTTCCTTGTCAAACTCAATAAATATGTGTTTGGCCAACAAGAATTGAAATACTTAGGACATCTTATTTGGACCAACATAAGACACAAGCCATGTTGAATTGGCCAAGGCCAACTAATATTACCAAGCTGCGTGGTTTTTTAGGACTGACAGATTATTACAGGAAGTTTGTTCGGAATTATGTGATTATGGCACGACCACTAACCAATTTACTGAAAACAGACAATTTGGGTGGAGGGAGGAAGCAGAAGCAACTTTTGCAAGTCTTAAGCACACTATGACTTTGACATCAACACTGGCCTTGCCCAACTTTAATGACCCTTTTATTGTTGAGATTGATGCTTCAGGAGATGGAATTGAGTTGTTCTTACTCAACAAGGAAGGCTAGTAGCCTACATGAGTCAAGCATTAGGATTGTCAAAACGATCATGGTTGACACATGCTAAAGAAATGTTGGTTGTTGTAGTCGCTGTCAAAGTTTGGAGTCCTTATTTGATGGGCCGCAAATTTTTCATCCAGACATATCAACGCAATCTGAAATATTTTTTGGATCAGCGCATCATTACTCCAGAACAAAAAGAATGGGTTGCTAAATTATTTGGGTATGATTATCAGATCATCCATAAGTCTGACAAGGAAAATACAGCTGCAGATGAGCTTTCACGACAAGTTAGCAGACCATCTCTTGATGCCATATTTGTTTCACAAAGTCAAATATGGTATGATATTAAGGAAGAAGCAGCAAATCATCCTTACATGCAGAAAGTTGCGAAATTAGCTAATGAGAAGCCGAACAGTCCTTGCACATGGAGAAATGAATTGTTTTTTTATAAGAACTGTGTGATGATTCCACCTAGATCCAACATCATTCAGCAGCTATTGCAAGCATTCCATGATTCACAAGTTGGCAGACATTCAGGTGTATTGTGAACTTACAAACGGCTCCCCAAAAAGTTTTATTGGCCCTTTATGCATCGGATGGTACAATGATATGTCTCCCTTTATGCATCGGATGGTACAATGATATGTCTCATCTTATGAAATCTGTCAACAAGCAAAGCTAGAAACTCTCTCTCCAGCAAGTCTTACACAACCATTGCCAATTCCATGCCAAGTGTGGGACGATATCACTTAATGGTAAGGACACCATTCTTGTGATAGTTAATCATCTTAGTGAATCAACACATTTCCTGCTAGGGGCTCATCCTTATACTGCAAAAGTGGTGGCTGAAAAATTTATAGAAGGTGTGGTAAAACTCCATGGAATGCCACGGTCCACTGTGAGTGATCGGGACCCAAGTTTTATCAGTCATTTATGGCGTGAGTTTTTTAAAATGTCAGGTATACAGCTGAAGATGAGCTCTTCTTACCCTTCATAAACAGATGGTCAATCTAAAGTTATCAATCAATATGTTGAACAGTGCACTGATGCTTGCCCATCAAAGACCCCGCAAATGTAGCTCTCTTCTTCCATTGGCAGAATTGTCATACAACACCACCTTTCATTTGCATATTGGAATGACACACTTCCAAGCTCTTTATGGACGTCTCCCACCATCCATTCCCCATTATCAAGAGGGAATTACCACAGTAAAAGGGGTTGGACAACTTGTTGCAAGAGGTACTCTGCCAACTCAAGGCAAATTTACATGCAGCCAACAATTGTATGTAGCAAGTGGCTAATTCAAGGAGGCGTAATGTTGAATTTCAAGCAGGAGAATGGGTTTTTCTTAAACTTCAACCCTACCACCAACAAACCACCTTTAAAATAGCATTTCAGAAATTGGCATGCCGCTTTTATGGTCCATACCAGATTGAACAAAAAGTTGGTCAGATTGCATATAAACTCAAGCTTCCAGAACGGTCCCGTATTCATCCTGTCTTCCATGTTTCATTACTCAAAAAGAAGTTGGGAGACTCCATTCTCACAACAAATAAATTACCAGCCACTAATCAAGATGGAAATATTCTTCTACAACCAGAAATGCTCTTGGAGACATGTTGTGTTAAGAAGGGATTAGAGTTTGTTGAGAAAACATTTAAGAACTGCATGAGAAGTTTGTCAATCTGAACCTTGAGGACAAGGTTCCTGAAAATGGGGTGAGTAGTGATAAGCCAAAAAGGTCCCAGAGAATGCCCGTAAAGAACCCATGATATAATGACTAGAATTGTCATGCAAGCTGCAGATTTTGGGATGCTGAAGACGGGGTTAAATTAACAGAATGTGGTCACAAGCTTGCTACTTAAGAATCAGTAAAATAATTAATACTGGTTGCTTTCAGTTGCTAATTTTTGGTGTTGCCCTCAGTTGCTAATTTTCAGTTCCTAATTTTCAATGTTTCCATATCCTATTTCTTAGAATTTGGAGTAGTTGTTAACTTTCTTGTATTTAAAGTCCTCAGGAATCATCAATAAAGCAGAGACTATTCATACCTTAAATCAGTGGTTATTTTCACTGTAAGCATAATACCTTCTCATTTCAGCTAAGTTATTCAGTTCTGACTGGGACCTATCACACTAATAATTTAACAAAAATTTGAGTTCAACAATCAAATTCATTCAGTGAGTTTTTCCTAAGTTACTAATGAAACAAACTATACATAATCCCCCTTGAAAATTTGCCCTCTTCATCTTTTCCACTTTCTTAGTCCAGATTATGCATTTTAACACTGCACAAGGAAATGGTGCTATATCACTGATCATCATGGTCCAAGTGGATGCAGATTGCAGGACAATGAAAACAATTAATGTCATGTTAGATTTCTTTGGTGTTTGTTCTTTTCTTTGTTAACAAACAGAACAATAAGAATGAAACATGCATATTACTTCCATGTTAGATTCTTTGGCTTTTGTTTTTTTTTTCCTCTCTTCATTAACAAAAAGAATAATGAGCATAGAATTAATTTATATTATTTCCATTTCTAGTTACTTTCACTTCAGCAAACAAACCAAGTACAATGAAATAAACATTAAAACAGAACTTCGTTCTGAGGGGAAATGTAAATAATTACCTTTTGAGAACTATTACTCTCTATAGAAGCTTTCTGTTCAATATTTTCCTGAGAATTTTCCCCCAACCCTTCAAGTATTGCATCTATTAGAATCCTATAGGAAGCCTCTTCTATGAAAGTCCACCCTTCATCTCCACCATAAGCCTTCAAAACATACGAAAACAGAAAACCCTCAGAAATCATTAAATCTTATCGTTTTCTCTGTTCAGTTTCCTAGAATCCAAAGAGGAACTGGAAGAAAAAAAAAACAGAAAATTCGGTTTTCACATTCCATTTCTCCTTTAACTCTACAAGAACAAATACCTTTCAGCTGAATATCATCCTTGATAACCCGCATGGTACAGAAACGAAACAGTTCTTTTCCGAGCAACCAAACAGACGATAGAGCAAAGCAAACCCTTCCGCTAAATTAGGTTTAAAATAAAACAAGATAACAGACTAGAGTCACCTTGAGGAGTTGCCTCAGAGTTTTACGAACCAAATTATCAGAAAACCCCATAGGGCGGAGGGCATCAAGGGCTGCATCAATGCGCTTGAGACCCACCTGATTCTTTTTTTTTCGAAACGAAAGAAAAAAAAAACAAGTGATCGAGAGCGGGAAAACGCAAGATCAGGTAAACAAACAGAGTTAATGAGAGGAAGATGAAACGACATCGTATTAAACCTTTCTAGTTCTTCTGCTTGGTGGCATGGTCTGTTCCTCTTCTTCTAATCTCCGCTGCAGTTCAAAGTATTCTCCGTGTTTCTTCTGCTGAGAAAGATTCACGCCACCATTATCAGATGAATCAGGAGTGACGAAAACGAACCTGCCGGGAATAGGACAGGAATGAAACAGGCAGTGATCCCATTGAAAACCTGTTTGTTGTCGGTTGTAATTAAATTAATTGCAGGCGATTCCTCGCATAAGCGACGCGTGATTGTCGGTCTGAAGCGATTCACATTTATATTTTTTAAATATTATTTTAAATAATATTTTATTTAATAATAACAAAATTTCATATAATATTTTAAATTAATAATATTTGTATTGATTCTGAAATTTTTTTTAAAAAATAAATTATAAATTAAGTACATAAATAAAATAAATAGTTAAGATTTACATTCCTTACACAATGACTTAAAGTACTAAGTAGGATTATAATAATGGTCATTTTAAATGAAATACAAAAAATTAAGGAAATAAACAGAAAACAAATAAAACTGACATCCTACTCGCAATTCTCTTGTGGATCGGATTCTGGATCCTGATCCTCTTGATCTGAAATAGTTAATAAAAGAATGAGTTACACTAATCTACTAAGAATATCACGCTACTGATCGTAACGAGATTTACAAAAATAACTTGTAGAGTTAATAACATAATACATATCATGATTTCATACGCAATCGATTGGAACAATAATTTTTTATTTTATCAGCCTACTAGTATTTATAGGGGTTTATAGGGATGTCCCCACAATGCGTGAACTATTTCTTTTAATATTTTTAATTAACGGGCTGTTCTCATACCTCATCCGGTATGAGCGTCAAATTATCAAATTTCGATACCCCGTCTGGTATGAGGCAACGTTCATGGTAGGATTTCTTATATACCCGATTCGTCCACCATCTTCCAAGATATCTAGTAAGGTTGTCGTTTCATCCATTCATTTAATCACACAATTTCTCATTTGTCTTTAATCTCCAGTTTTCCAATTCAACCGTAACAAATAAAATAAACAATACATGCATTCAAAACTATAAAATCGATCAATCAGATATTATCATACATTCAAACTGTAAAATCAATCAACAGTGAATAATTTTCGGTTCTGACTCCATTAGTAACCTGTAATTAATTATAAATATTTTTTAAATTGCACAAAATAACGTATTATTATTAAATTAACTTCAATTCCATAACATAGAATAAAGTGATGGATTCTTATTCAATTTGATGTTCAAAAATCTAAACTTGTTGACGCACCTACTGGCGGTCTCCGAGTTCTCTGAATTTTTTTTCGGGGATTAAAACATGCTACAAGTACCTACAAATATCCTAAAAAATCCAAAATTAGTGTCAAGACCCTTTTTTGGCCAATTCTGAAATTCTAACACGGCAGCTCCGCCATGCTTCAGCGATGGCACCGCTGCCCGCGGTAGCAGTTTGCCTCAGGTCGGCTATTTTCGGCTGAATTCGGTCGATTTTGCTTTAATCCCTACGAAAAAACACATTAAGGGGATTCGATTGGTCGAAAAAAAAAATAAAAAATCGAAACTCACCAACAGCAAGATTCTCCGGTGTGGCGGCTCCACCAGCTCACCTTTGAGGTTGGGTGTTTTGCTTCGGTTAACCTGTATAGAAGAAACAGTGATTATAATGGTGGAAGAATTATGCAAAACAGAAATCGGAAAGGGTCTCATCGGAGGCGATTTTTATAATTTTTCGCGGTGGTGTCGCCGAGTTTTGCCGCGGTTTTTGGTTAATTCGCTAATCCTTTTGCTTCAATTTGGCCATATAGATGTTTAAAATTGAATTTCGAGCAAATGGCGAATTTTTATCTCTTTTGGCGGTCGAAAATGGCTCCGGCGCTGCCGCTGGGTCTCTTTCTCCGGTAAGGGTGTCTGGTGGCTAGGGTTAGGGTTTGGTGTG